TGTGTGGATGCATATGTGTGAGGATGCAAAGAGTGGAAAAACACTGACAGTTTTTGGAGCTACAGACATTGCAGGCATCTTTGGTTGGTGCTGAGCATTCATGGTGGCTGGTCTTGTCTGAGCTGAAAAGCTGTGGATGCCCATCCCTGGAGGTGCTCAAGGCCAGGTTGGATGGGGCCCTGGGCAACCTGATCTCTTGCATTATTCAATGGGTGGCAGTCCTGTCTGCAGAAGGAGGTTGGTCCCTTCCAACCCCAGCCATTCTGGGATTCTGAGATATATGAGTTTGGCACTCAAAAAATCCATGATTTGGAGAAGGGTGGGATGGACTAATGCATCTAAAACATTTTTCCTCTGGGTACGTCTCATTTCAACTGGTATTGAGGCTGTTGGGGAGTTGGTCAAGATCTTGACAATGATTTCAATGTGGTCCTTAAAGCCATGGGAGAAGCTGGAGTGGAGATGCCATTTCTCTAGCAAAGTGTTCCATGGTTTTTGTCTCAACCTGTAATGGAGTCTGTGCGTTTGCAGCTATGATGGAGTGCCATTTCTGATGCATGACAAGACACTCAGGAGAACAACGAATGTGGAGGAAGTGTTTCCAGGGCGGGCCTACGAACACTCTTCCATGTTCAACTGGACTGACCTGGAAATGCTCAATGCTGGAGAGTGGTTCCTACGGGTGCGTACCTATAGGATGTCCTGCAGCCATGGCTGTGGGATGAAAGCTCTGCCTAAACCCTCTGTGAGGTAGCTTCTCAGTAGGGTGGTCTGAACTGCATCTAGACCAAGCCTCTATGAACTGTATGTAGTTCAGTCCACTGCTAATCATGTAGTTTGACATCCCACCCAAGGCATTTGCAGCTGTCTTTAGGTAGCGTTGCACAAAGGTTGGAGCAGTGGCCTAGCCCCCAGGAGCACTCTATGGGAATTTGATTGCTTGGTCCTTTCTCTGCCTTGCAACCTGGGGTAGGGGAGAGAGATTGTTTTTCTCTGCTCCTCCTTCCGCCACTTGGAAGGAGGGACCTTAATGCCTGGTTGATACTACTCAGGACTCCCAACATCCCCCTGGAAAGGGAAATATGACTATAAAGGAAACAGAAAAGAGACTGTTGTGTTTTACTTTTTCCTTAATTTATACTTGGAGGTAATTGTTTCTAAAATGGAAAAAAAAAACATCCACAGAGATGTTCAGCTTTCAAAGTCTAAGGGAGAAGAAATTGCCTTGGGGTGGGCTGGTCCATCTTTTGGTGCTCAGCCAGCTTACAGGTGGGCTTTCTTTCTGTAGCCTGCAGCCATAACCTTCCTGGAGAGTATTAATTGTGGTCTGGAAGGAGGGCTGCATCAGTATGGCACATTCCAGCAAGCCTGATCATGGCTTACTGCAATGATGCTCAGGTACTGGTTTCATGTGTCTGTTTGAAGGTCCTTCAGTGCTTGCCTGGTAGTAACCTGAGCTGTAGTAGCATCACCACTGTTCTGATCTGTGGTGAGGAAGTCTGAATAAGAGCTGCATGTGCTGTGGCACAGAGACTTGCTGGGCCTACAGATGTGGTTGTTGGAATGGGAATGCTGTGAAAATGCCTCTTGCTAGGTGAGAAGGACAAAGACAGCAGCTGGAAGGCTGGTTTTGGAGATGTCCTTTGAGACACAGTCATTTCTAAAAGTCCTTTTGTCAGGAGAGTCCATCTGCTCCAGCATCCCATAGCTCCTCTCATATTGCCCTTAGTTCCCTTGGGGAAACCGAGGCATGGAAAAACACTTCAACAAAGTCCTAGAATGGCATTGAGTGTAGTTGTCAGCATCCCCCACTGTTGCTATGGTGGGATGGAAAAGGAGCTCCACCTGCACCCAGGGAGCCTGTGCTTCATGGTGGTAATGCTGGCATCTTTTACTTTCAGAACGACCCTTTCTGGACAGCTGGATCCCTCTCAAGGTCTGACTACTTGGAAGCTGCAAACCAGTCTGTCTGCAAGCTAGCAGATATGCTGGAGGTGATCAAGGATAATACATCACTCATCCTGAACTTCCAGGACCTGCCACCAGATCATCCCTATTACACGTCTTACATCAACATCACCCTGAAGACCATCCTGGCGTCGGGAATTCAGCAACGATCTGTGAGTTTGGTGGTATTTCCAGAATTGAACATCCTTATGGGTTCCCCGAGTTCTTGAGTGCCTCGTTTGACCCATTTGGATGCTTGATTTGGGGTGTTACTTGGAAGCTGTGCTGGGGAGGAAAATGCTTGCAGGCTGGACCCAAGGTCTTTGCATAGCTGCATGTCTGGTGGATGGGAGATAGCAGTCATAAACTGGACCAGCAAAAGGAGGCCTCTTCCAGACTTTCTTTCCTATAATTGCCAAGCTGCAATGGCACAGAGCTAGAAGTCAGTGTCCAGCCAGCCTCATTAGTTTGTCCTCTAATAGAATCACAGAATGACAGCATGGCCTGGGTTGCAAAGGAGCACAGTGCTCATCCAGCTCCAAGCCCTGCTGTGTGCAGGTCGCCAAGCAGCAGCCCAGGCTGCCCAGAGCCACATCCAGCCTGGCCTTGAATGCCTGCAGGGATGGGGCATCCACAGCCTCCTTGGGCAATCTGTGCCAGTGCCTCACCACCCTCTGGCTCAAAAACTTCCTCCTCAAATCCAACCTAAACCTCCCCTGTCTCACTTTCAAACCATTCCCCCTTGTCCCATCACTATCCACTTCCACAGGGGGATGAAGGGCACTGGAAAAACTGTGAGCAAAGAGATATGGGGGTGGTGAAGCTGTATTTTTCACCCAAGTTTGAGGCCAAACGTTTGGTCATTAATGAGTGTTGATGAGGTCTTAAACATGTGGGTTAAAGCAATGTAAAGCCCAGTGGTACTGCCATAATCATCCCACCCTCTGTATGGCACAACTGATAGAACTGCTTAGCCTGGCTCCTGCATCCACTTTATGCCTGGCCCCCGAGCCTGTCAACAGTAATTGATCTGACACATTTTCAAAGCCTGGTGTGAACTCTGGGAAATCCTTGCCTTGGGTGAGAAGAGATGTAGCCCTAATGAAAGAGAGTTGAATAAAACAGATCTCAGCCATGGGATGTTGAGAGGCTTCTCCTGCACCATCTTGTGCTGTCAGCATTAGTCCCTGTGCCCTGAATTGGGCAGGGAAGACAAACTGTTAGATGTGGGGTACACTAGACCTCACCTCATGAGCCCTTGGCTTGATCTGTTTCTACCTCAACCCGTTTCACCTCTAAATTTTCAAGCATTATGTATTTCTCTGTGTTCCCCAACCATCCTGAAGTGCATTTGGATATAAATCCAGGAGGCTGTGTGCCTCTCCTAGACTATTTGTATGACAAATAAGGCAAAATCTATTGTGCATATTTGCTTCTGGCTTAATGTAAACTGATTATCTGCAACCCTTGGCTGGTGTTACCTGCTTTGTGAACCCTCTTTGCCTTGACCTCCTTCTGCCTCTGCAGGTGATGTGGCTGCCGGACACGGAGCGGCAGCTGGTCAGGCAGATTGCTCCAGCTTTCCAGCAGACTTCTGGCCTCAAGTTGGATGCAGAGCGCTTGAGAGAGAAGGGCATCGTGAAACTCAACCTGCGTTACACCAAGGTCACGAATGAGGATGTCAGGTAGAGTCCTCCCTTTGGATGTGGTGTTGGCAGCACGTTGCTCTACAGCCACGTGTGCATCCCTGTCCCAGCAGCATCTTTCTTGACCTGTCTGTATACAAGCACTGTTTCAGATGGACTTGCTGTTAAAAAACCTGAGCTGTGCCAGCTCGTCCCTCCCATTACCCAGAATCCAGGCTGTTCCCAGGATTGCTCATTTGCCTCATAGAATCGTTAAGATTGGAAAAGACCTCTAAGATCATGAAGTCCAACCGTCAGCCCATCACCACGTTGCCCCCAACCATGTCCCTCAGTGCCACATCTGTGTCTCATACATGATGATCCTTTCTGAAATACAGATCTTTGAATATTTCTTATTCCATTGTTATCTCTGGAAAAAGGTGATCTCTGGAAAAAGAGATCACTGTCAGCAGCTGCCCTGTTATCTGTTAATCTGCTCCAGACCTTCTGTGGCAGATTCTTGATTAGTCTGGTGTCTAATCTAGTTCTCAGAACTTTTTTGGCAGACAATTCACATGTTCTGTTGCTGTCACCTGTTTAGAGTGGTTAGGCCTTGTCTTTAATGAGACTGTCACAGCATGTGCAGCCTTCTGGCAGTGTGTATCTGAACTGCACACAGTGCTAGCTCATGGCTTTGCCCTTTTCTCAGAAAGCGTGGGTTGTCTCTCATAGAGACCTTTTCCCTTTTTTGGAGTTCACATTTATTCCTTGCATAAGTATTTGAGAAATGAAACTTTTTCAGATGGAAAAAAAAACCAAATGTATTTAAATGATTTGTCTTACTATACATTTGGGGCTGGAAAGAGAGAAGAACTGTTTGCTTTGTCTCCTGGAGAGGACCATATGCCTGCTTTGGAAACTGGAAGATGTATCCCTGCAACTGTCCCTAAAACAAGGGCATGGGAACTGTAGGAACTCATGTTGCAAACTCGATCAGTTTTTAGTTAAGCAGACTGCCTGTGAAACATGATGAGCATCTGAGGTAGATGTTAATTTTACATCAGCATGATGAGGTGCTGTATCTGTCCTTTATGATGATGTGTCTGAAGCAGGCTGAGTCCTGGGGCAGGTAGTGCCTGGGAGGAAAAGAAAGCTTGTGCATTCCAACCACTTGACTGCAGTGCCATTGGCTTGCCTATGAGGTGACTGTGCCCTTTTAAAAACCTACTTCATGTGATTCATAGCTAATATGTCTGTGTTTCAGCAGTGCAGATGATGAGAACTCTCTGAGATGGAGATTTCAAGTTGAATATTAAGAATAATTTCTTCTCCAAAGAGCAGTTGGGCACAGGCATGGGCTGCCCGAGGTGGTGGTGGAGTCACCATCCCTGAAGGTGCTCAGATCTGTGGGGATGTGGCACTGAGGGACTTGTTCAGAGGGCACGGTGGGATGCTTTGGAGTGGGATGTTGGGTTCTTGGAGGCTCTCCATCTGTAATGACTTAACATGAGCCAGCAGTGCGCTCTGGCAGCTCGAAAGGCAAATGGGATCCTGGGCTCCATCAGGAGAAGGGTGGTCAGCAGGGACAGGGAGGTGATTGTCCCTCTCTACTCGGCTCTTGTGAGGCCCCATCTGGAGTCCTGTGTCCAGGTGTGGAGCCCTCAGTACAAGAAAGACATTGAGATTTTGGAAAGGGTGCAGAGGAGGGCGACTGAGATGATCAGGGGGCTGGAGCACCTCCCCTATGAGGACAGGCTGAGGGAGTTGGGCTTGTTCAGCCTGGAGAAGAGAAGCTGCATGGTGACCTCAGTGCAGCCTATCAATACCTGAAGGGAACCTACACCCACGAGGGGAGTAAACTCTTCAAAAGGGCTGACAACAGCAGGACTAGGGGAAATGGATCGAAGTTGAGGGAGGGAAGATTGAGGTTGGATGTTAGGGGGAAGTTCTTTACAAGGAGAGTGGTTGGGCCCTGGAACGGGCTGCCCAGGGAGGTTGTGGATGCCCCGTCCTTGGACGTGTTCAAGGCCAGGTTGGACGGGGTCCTGGGCAACCTGATCTGAATGTGTGTGTTTGGTGGCCCTGCTAGGCAGGGGGGTTGGAACTACATGATCCTTGAGGTCCCTTCCAACCCGGGTGATTCTGTGATTCTGTGATTCTGTAATGATTCTACGATTCAATGAGATGAGGCACTGATGACTGCAGGACTCACCCCTCACTCTTTCTTCCTTCTGGCAGAGACTACATGGCAGCAAACCTGAGCGTGAATCTGTACACTGTGAATGAGCCCTGGCTGTACTCCATCCTGTGGTGCACTGGTGTCCCGTCGGTCACCTCCGACAGCTCCCACGTCCTTCGCAAGGTGCCTTTTCCCATCTGGTTGATGGTAAGCACAGAGCACAGCAAAGTGCCGTGGACCCTGGAAGTAGGGAACACCATGGGGAAGGTTTAGAGGTTGTTCACTGCATTCGTATTACCAGGGGCTTATTCCAAGGATGTTCAGGTTCAGTGTGGCATTGGCCTTGAGTGTTTTCACCCTCTGTATGTCTAAGATGGCGAAGGATCAATGCACAAAACCTTCTTTCAGGTCTTTCCTAATGCAGTATTTGGGGACCTCATTTAACCCAACCAACTTTTTTGTATTCCTTCAGTGTAAAAACATCTTTCCAGACTTGCTGAGCATCTACTAGAGTTGCAGTTTTGTCTGGTTTTAATACCAAATGAGGACAGATTTTACCTCTGGCTACTCCATTTCCATACTAGGAACAGAGTCCTTACCCATCACACAGGCAACAAACCCTCTGAAAGCTCTGCTAGCACTTTGGGTCTCTGAACCAAACAAAACATTCACATTGGAGAGGAGGGAAAATAGTTGCATCATGGTATTCCCCAAACAAGCTCAGCTGCAGAGGTGTACATGGATGTCATGGGGCTATTTTTTGGTAACAGATTTTTATGGGGGTAGGACAGGAGGCAGCTGTTTTGCCACTGCTCTGGGAGATCCCATTGGGAAAGGGGAAATAAGATGAGCACAAGGGGAATTCAGCAGGTGTTATCTGCATCTTCAGCTGGAGGTAGGACCTCATCTGTGCATCTGTGAATGTCATTAGTCATAGCTTAACCTACTGCTTGTATCTGACAACACAGATTTGAACTGGTGTGAGCTGAAGATGGAAAACTGAAAATGGTCAGCAGACTGATCTGTTGGCATCAGAAATTGTCACTGTCTGAATTCTGCTGCTGCAAACATCTCCCTTCCTCTACAGTTGGCAGGAGTTTTGGGTACATCACTGGCAGCTCTTTACTCCAAAATCCTCACTGACAGCTATGAAAAGCAGCTGATGCTTGGAGCCCTCCTCCTAGGGCTCTCCCGTCTGTTGGAATTCCAACACAGCATCCCATAGAGGAGGGCTTTGGAAGTGGAAAGCTTCAGTTGGGGTTCTAACCCCAACTTGATGTCCTTAACCTGAGTGCCCAGTGTGGTGCACCCATCCTGCCTGCGTTTTTGAGATTCTTCCTGAAAGGTTTGGGCTGCCCTCTGGATTCCAGTTTTTTGTGCTCATAAAATCTTTGCTAACTCTGAGCTTTCTGGGGATTTTATGGGCATTACAGATTTCTTTTTTTTCAATCATCAATATAAAGTGCTAGAGTTTGCCCAGAAGGTTCTGTTCATGTCTGCCTATTCCTTGGGATACATCATGGGAAATACAACTTTTGTCCCCACAGGAGAACCTGATACTTTGGGTGTTGTTGTGGAATACTAATTTGGATAAGTGAAAAACTTAGCTGTGCAGATTTTCTTTTGTCCTAGAAGCCTCCTGAGTTTTCATTCAAAACATCTGTGATAGTGTTCTCCAATCAGGAAAAAGGCATTTTTGTGTCTTAATAAATGCAGGAAATTAGACAGGTGTTATTGCAGCATCAACACAACGTCAAAGGTCTCTTTTCCATTATAAAGTTTGAAAATAAAGGATGAAATGTCTATCAGAAGTGTTAGCTAATTAAAGCACTGCCATGCTCTTCCTGCTGGATAAATTGAGACACACAAAGAGGCAGTGACCAGAAAAACTAATTATTCTATTCTGGGAGACAGAGGTAGCAGTGTTGGTGGTTCCCAACTGGTTTTACCTTTGTCACCCTACTGCTGCATGAACTCCCCTTTCTGCATTGTGTTCTATTTCTCCAATTAAATATTATTTGTCTGCATTAATGGCATTGGCCATTGGGATGTTTGTGCCTGGGCTGGTAATAAATCAGAAACCTTTTCCTTAATTGGGACCGTGTCCTTCAGGATTGGGCTGGCCAAGCAGAAGTTTGTTGGCTGTTGCTGGTGGCTGTCATGGGTGGGTGTCTTCTGAGCATCATCAGGAGTTGATTATTAATAGTTATTACTTAGACCAGCAAATGTAGCAAGAGTTGCCTGTGCCTTAAAAGACAGAAATCGACAGAAATATTGTTTGTTTTCCCACAGGCTTGGATTTCCAAAGAGCCTCTCACCTCACCTTGAGGTTCAGCTGAGATAGGGAACTTCCAGCCCACAAAGCTCTGAGAAAACATCAGCACGTGCAAAATGCTTAAAGCTTAAAGCTCTTCCTGTTTGCTTCCTGATAATGCCACCTCAAGTGACAGGCTGACATTAGAAATGTCGTAAACATGATTTATCTGTGACCCTTGCAGCTCTGTGCTTTTCTTTACTCAGAGAGTGGTGAGGTGCTGGAACAGCTGCCCAGAGAGGCTGTGATGCCCCGTCCATCCCTGGAGGTGTTCAAGGCCAGGTTGGATGGGGCCCTGGGCAGCCTGGGCTGCTATGAAACGTGGAGGTTGGTGGCCCTGCCTGCAGCACAGGAGTTGGAGCTTCGTGGTCCTTGAGGTCTCTTCCAACCCAAGCTGTTCTGTGATTCTTTCTGCCCTGGTGGTGACTTCAGCAATGTCTGGTCTCCCTGTGCATATACACAGCTTTAAGATCTGCTCCTGTTCTTTGTCTTCCAGCCTCCAGACGAGTACCGCCTAATCTGGATCACATCCGATCTCATTTCATTTATCATAATTGTAGGAGTTTTTATATTCCAGAAGTAAGTAGCATTGTTGTGGCTCAGCTCTCGTGTATTCGTGCTGTGTGTTTTCATTGAGAGTGTGGGGTGGAGGCAGGAGAGAGGACTGTGGTGCTCCTCAAGCATGTGGATTGCCATAGCAGGAAAACTGATTAAAAATTCCTCCAAAGACTGCAAACAGTAATTAATTCCACTTCTGAGATGACATTTGAATTCGATGAAGTCAGTGCTTTTAAGAGGAATAAGAGATCTCACAGCAGGAATGGCAGACTCCTTGCTCTTCTCATAAATGTGCGTGGGAGAGAAACCTTAAGTGTTTTTGGGGAAATGGACATCAAGAAGTTTAAATGCTATAGAAAAGGTGAGGAAATGGTTTGAGTTTCCACAGTTATAGTTTTTACAGCAGGGTTGTCTTTTAGCTTTTCTAAAATCAGTTGGTTTCCATTAGGATGAAGAGAGTTACGTAAGCGATGCAAAACCGTTGCAGCTTAGCAAATCCAATCAGTTGCCCAACTGGATGCTTGGAGAAAAAAATCCCCTTTTCAGCAAGGAAAACGTGGAGGCAGAAGCCTCTAGGACCCTGAACACAGACATGGAGCAGAAAGGCTGGGAGCAGGACAGGCTTAAGACACCGATGAATCAGTAGGAGATAAATCTACTTGCTAATGGTAGAGTTGGCCAAACCACCCTCTTGATTATAAGGGAGGAAATGCGTCCTCCTGGTGATGTGCCTGCTCTCCTAAGAGGCACTTTAGCTGTCAGTGATGACACTGAAATAACCCTCTCTGGGAAAGCACGAGCTCAGGAGGAGGAATGCTCTTCCCCCAGTGAGAAGCAGCAGCCTTCCCCTGGGAAAATGTCATTTTGAAATTGCACCTCGCTCTTCGCCCGGCTTTGTAATCTCACCTGCTTTAGCATGCACAAAGCACTGTGCTAGAGACAGCAAGAAGCTTGTGCTTTCCTTCTTTCTTGATCTCCAAAATGCCTTTGTGTTAGGAGTAGCAATTTCATTTCCTTCAGCTTTATGAGCCAGTAATCTTGCTGTCATGCTGCCCCGGATCATCTGCTTGCAGCAATTCCTTTCCCTCCCCAGGGCAGATAATTACCTGGGCATTTTCACCACGCTACAGCAGCCTACTGCTCCTGCCAACACCTGCTATGGATTTGACTTCAGGCCATATGTTGGGTCTGTTGATTATGTCCTTCTAAATTTACAACTCGCACAGTCCCAGGCTGGTAGACCAGTGCCCAGTAGGTCATCCATTCCAGCACAGCATAATAGGATGAGAAGCAGATTCAAACCCCTCTCAGATTCGATTTACCAACACTTAACAAAACCAATGACCTAAATGAGATTAACCAATCTGTTTATAATTTTGCTCAGACGTCTTGCAGCCAATTAAACCTTTCCTCCAGGTGGACGTTGTGGCTGTGTTGTCTGGAAGCTTCCTACAATCCCTCAGTTTCATCAGTGGATTTAATAAGAGATTTCCCTGCCCTTCAGACTTTTATTTCTCAGTCAGGGTCAAAAATGCACTGAGGAGGCTGAAGGAAGGGACTGAGCTCCTTAATGCTCTTCTGTCAAGAGCAGAATTTAAAGGTCATGGCAATGAAATACTGCATAGAATCATTAAGGTTGTAAAAGACCTCTAAAATCATCCAGTCCAACCACTGACCCATCACCATCTGAAGAGTTTTGCATCATTTCCCAAAGCTGGTTTGGCAGGCTTTCTCTATCATGCCCACAGGGCACATCCAAAAGAGTTAAACTAAGCCATACCGTAGGCTATAGGTCTGCTACATGGGCATTCTGATATATGGACTGCTCCTCTCCCCAGAATGTTTTTCCAGCTTGGAGGTGGTTTGGTGGTGTAGGGAGAGAAGAATCAGGGTGAGGAGTGGAAGGATTTTGGGATTTCTCTCCCCTGGGACAGCTCAACCCCAAGTCAGTGGAAGGAAGGAGAATAACTCTAGCGTCAGAAGCTGGATTTTCTACATCGAAAGGCTTGCCCTCCCGAGAGCTCCTGCTCTGTGCATCCCACTTAGGAGATGCCCATTTCCCTGCTCTTCACGGCTGCTTCACCACGCAGAAGAATGGGTATCAGCTCTGAGTCTGTGCCAAAACCAAGTCTCAGCAGAGCTGCCTATCGACTCCCTGCTGACGCGACTCAGCTCCACGAAGTGGGGCTTGACGTTTGGCCTTCAATACGTCGTGTGTTTTTGTTCTAGGGGTTTTTTTTTATGTGTGTGTGTATGTGTGTGTACTTTTTCCTGAAGTCCTTTTTGGGGTAAAACAGAGCTGCTTCCTCCACGCAAGGACCTGAGGGTGGGTGGGACCAGAGGCACGGCTTCGATGTGCTTGTCTCTCTCCTCCGCATGGCTTGTCTCTCCTCCATAGGGCAGGGATTGCTCCTGCTCTTCTACTTCAGCTCTGGGAACAGGATCGTGCCAGGCCTTCCAGGAGGGAAATACCAACTGTGATGACTTCTAACCAATCTTTTTTGCCTCTTTGCCTTGTTTATTTTCTTACTGCTCTGACTGTTGTGCATGTTCCTCCTCTTTCTCTCTCTGCTGCATTCTGGCATCTCACAGCTATCACATGATCAGGTAATTCTGGTGCTTTCCTCCTCTTTCTCTTTTTCATTCAGCCTTCCTTTCTCTCTTTCTTTCTCCCTCTCTGCTACGGCTTCACTGCAGACAGACAGTGCAGGATGCAGCTTTTCCATGATGCTTTCAAACATCTGGCTTCACAGGGGGACCATAAGAGTCAGAACATTGCATGGTCCATAGCCACGAGCACCACGGGAGCCTGATGCTGGAGCTGGTGGATGCTTTGAAGGCAATCTGACCTTTCGTTACAAAGATCAAAGTTGTGCCCTTTAACACAGCCCTGTTCTGAGGTCCTGCAGTGTGCTGAAATTGGGCACTTCCCCATGGAGATGATGCTTTCTCCGTGGAAATGATTTCACTACAAAATATCCTCTTCCTGCGTTTACCAGAGGTTTTTTGGGACCAACCTCTTCTAAGCTGGCTAATGCTAAATAAGATGAAAATGTAACCTGTTCAATTATATCAAGTATCAGTTCTCCAGCCTGGGTGTTAATTAATAGGTCTAACAGCTGAACAGGTTTGGCTCAATGACTGCTGCACTCATTGGAGCTTTGGAGGCTTTTCCCAGTTACTTTTTCCCAGAAACTGGAAATACAGTCTGAAAATAAAAACAGCAGTGAACCCAGGAATGGAATGAGCCTGGGATTTTGGATTCAAAGTGCCATAAATTGCCAACCCAAATTTCTCCTTGCGTTGACTGTTTTCTCAGTGGTAGTTCTCATCCCCTTGGAGGGAAGCACTGTCACCTTTCTGCAGTAAAGCCTTTACCATGTCCTTACTCAGACCAAACTCTCCATGTTACCTTCTCCATTCCTTCTGCTTGGCACCATGGGGTTGCATTTTTGAGGACTGGCTCCTCCCTATGCGTGCTCAGCCCCCCCTGTTCCCCTACCCACCACCTTTGGGGTTGGGGTTGGCCATCTGGAAGCATCGCCTGCTCCACCAGGTACTTGGAATTGCAGTGTTCCATCCTTGCATCACCTCACCAAAATGGGGACAAGGAGGCTGAGTGTTCTCCTCCTTTCAACTCTCCATTGCTCTCTGGCATTTTTCATGTGGGTGGGGAGAAGAGAGAGGCATGGAGGAGTTGGTCAGGCTTTAGACAACAGGTGTTCAAGGCCAGGTTGGATGGAGCCCTGGGCAACCTGGTCTTGTATCAGATCTGGAGGTTGGCGGCCCTGCCTGTGGCAGGGGGGTTGGAACTTGACGATCCTTGAGGTCCCTTCCAACCCAAGTCTTTGTATGATCCTATGAATAGCAGGATGGGGACTGTGTGGTTGTGTCTGGCTTGGCTCTTTGCTCACTACCATTTTATGACCTTGGTACCAACCAACTCTATTTTTTCCCCAGTCTGTCCTCTCCCATCTCCTTTCCCTTCCATTTCTCCTCAGCCCAAGCACCCTAGTCCTGGCCCTAACATGGTGTGTGCTGTCTCTGTGTTGTTGTCCCAGTATTTTTTAGTCTGTTCCTATCCCATGTCCGTCTGGTCTGCTTTGATGCCTCCCAGAACACGAACAACCTGCTGTCTGTCTGACACAACGAGCCCTGCTCTGGGCTGCCCTTTTTGCACATGTGACCGGTCACAACAGAGTCCAAGGGGGTAGGAGAGGTGTTATTTCCTATTAAATAAGCTTCCTGGTGACCCTAAGTCTATTGAGCTCAGCAGAAAATGTTTCATGCAGCGTAGATTGGTGTCGCATCATGGTTAAATAGACTGATGGCACCTCTGCTAAGAGGGTATTTCAAAATGGGGGTGGTACTGGGAGCTTGGTTTGCTTTGCATGGAGCTGCAAACAGCTGTAGAAGCTAACTGAGTAATTGCATGACCCTTGCAGATTTGGGCTGGTTTTGATGTTCCTCCTTGGGTGCATTCCATTCGAAAATGCATCCCAGCTATGAGCCCTGCTCTGCTCCTTTTACCTGGAGCTGAAATTCCCTCCTGAATGCTCAGCAAGTCCTGACTGAACCTACTAACACTCCATACTAGCCCAGAAAAGGGCCACAAAATGTTAGGGGAGAGAACTCAGAGGGCACCTGGAGTCAGTGTGCTTCAGCTCGGGTGCGTGCACAAATTTCACCCAGAGAAGTGGTGCAAAAGCTGTCAGAGTGCTTGAGCTGGGGCATCCTGTCCAGAGCTCTGTGCCCTCAAGGGGCCCAAGCCCTCTGTGGGATGACTCAAGCAAGAGATCACCCTGCATCTAGGCCATGCAATCCAACCTAATGCTCCATGTCCTAATGCTGTTGGCACAGGGAAGACCCAGCATGGTGACAAAACGTTTTTTGGTCCTGATTAAGGAATTTCTTATCCTGTGAGACCCTGTGCACGTATTGATCTTAGCTGGATCTGCCGGTGTGGGACAGTAAGGGAACAATGGCCATCTTCCAAGTTTAAGCAGCTCGGATTAGATGATGATGATAAAAGAAAAATCATTTTGGGGGCTTGTTTTTTTTTTTAAACTTTAATATCTTCTCCACCTCCTTGTGCTCCTTCTGGGTTGCTTTTGTCCACGGGTCCATGAGCTGTGCACTGTGACCATCCCACACCGTCCCACCCCATCTGCCCTCTGTAGCAGAGCCCTGTCTTCATCCATGCTCCAACAGTGTGGTGTCACCCCTTGGGATTTGGGAAAAATAAAGTGGAAACCATGGAAATCAGCACCAGACAGATTTTATTTCACTTTATTTTGAATGGAACAACACCAGGACCTCATCTATGATTGTTTCAGGCCCGTGCTGTAGGGCCAGACTGGTGTGGAGCTTCTCAAATCTGCTCCTGGGATGGGGAGGGAGATGGAAATGTAAGAGAAGGCAGATGTCACTCACCCCCACCCAAAAGAAAAAAGGAAAAACAAACAAACAAAAACCATAAAGGGCAGGAATATCACGTTTTTATTCGATGGGTAGCCACTAGATGGTGCCAGAAGATCAGAAAATCCATAGGCTGCCCTAAATCTCTGCTATTTTTCCAGCAAAGAGCTTTGTTATGTGCCTGGCTCCGGCAGGGAGAATGGGAATCACTGAAAGCCTTCCTCTGTGTGCAGGAGGTGGAACAAATTGGTGGGTTGGGGGCTGTGAAAACCCACTAAGCCCTGATTTCCCTTTATTTGAAGGAAACATTCCTCCAATTCCTGTATTTTCCTTGAGGATCTGTGTTACGGAAATGCTCACGGGGTGAAAAAGAGCTTTACAAGCAAAGCCCTACTTAGCTTTGCTGCTGTTGTTGCATTTTCTTTATGTGCACTTTTAGAACAAAAAGCCTGGCCAGTGTTAATGTGCAGCCAGGTTCTCATCAGCTTTATGTTGTCATTCACGTGAGGGAAATTTTTGGTGAAGCTAAAGAAAAAAAGCGTGCATTTTAGGCTGGAAGCATTTAAGCAAAGACCTGGCAACTGGGGAGGGAACTGCCCTGAGATAAATTCCATGCAGGGGCATTGTACATAAAGATCTACCTGCATTGGGAGTGCTCGTGCTTTCCTTCCAAGCATCTCATGCTGATGTCTTTGCTGCGTGTCTCAGGTTTGAGACTTGAATTTTTCTTTGAGTTCTCTTCTCCTACAAATGCAAGCAAGAAAAAAGAAGTTCCTTCACTTGGCTCAGTCTTTGTTCCCTTGTAACCACTCTCAGAGTCAAAACAGTTCACCTCCTTAGTGCAGTTGTCCAGCTGATGTGGTGCAGAGGGGTTTGGGGTGCCTGCAGTCCTTGTTGGAATTAGTGGGATTGGGATGCTGAAGGCGGTTTGGAGATAACTCCTTTTTATGTTTGTACCCTCATCTCCAAACATCCTCTTGCCGTCCGGGGTTGTGTTGGTACAAGGGCACGAAAGCATTGAGGGCCTCCGGGATTTGGTCTTCCCAGTGTTGGTGAGCACTTTGAGGATGCTGTCAGGGGTGGGGAGACCCAGCCCCTGATTTCCCCTTCTTCTCTTGTAGGTGGCGCTTAGGAAGCATCAGGACCTACAACCCAGAGCAGATCATGCTCAGCGCTGCCGTCCGCCGGTCCAGTCGGGATGTCAAGATCATGAAGGAGAAGCTGATCTTCTCAGGTATGGATCAGGGCCGCTCAGTCGAAGCTCTGTGCTTCATCCTTCAGTTGTCACTCTGCTGATGGAGGAGGCAGAGTCTCAGGCTCATGAAGGTTGGCAAAGATCCCAACGGTCACCAAGTGCAACCCTGACCCACCTCCACCACCCCCACTGACCATTTCCCTCAGTGCCACACCTTGATGTGGGTCTCGTCTCCCACTGGTGGGATGGGATGGCTGGACTGACCCTGCTGTGAGATGTGGTCACTTTTGGGATGTGGTTCTGGCTCCTCAGTCCCATACAGCTGAGGGTTTTCATGTTGGTACGCAGCATCTTCCTCTTAGTGTGTCTGTCCAAGACCACCTCCAAGAAAGATCTCAGGCATCTGTACAAAGAAGGAAACATTTAGTTTTACAAGGCTAAAATCGATGTGTGAAGCTGGAATGCTCACGTTTGAAGGAATGTGACTGTAGTCTGCCTTTGGGCTCTTTTATTGGCTTTTTTTCCTGGAGATCTCCAGCAGGGATCAGGGTTTATTGTACGAAGACAAGCTGTGCATCAAAGATTTTACTGTGAGGAGAGCAGGCCTGATTCTACCCTCCATTGATGGTCAAAATGAGGAGTAAACCCAGGGAAAACAGAGTAAGAGAGCAGTTGATCAGAGGAAAATTAAGCCTCCCCACTGTTTTCTAGGCATGAAATCTCTTAGAAACAAAGCACCTTCTGAGGTCAGGGGTGCGTGTTAATATTTTGTGCCTCTGAAACAAACGGTTTCACTTAGAGTTGGTGGACATGATTAAAACATCAGTGGGTGTATATTTTCCACAGTGACTACAGGAATCTTCCTGGTTCCAGAGCAGCAAATAGGGTAGAGATGATGTTCAGATATTTCTTTTTCCAAAGGTCAGTAATTCAGCATAGCATCACACGTATGGCAAGGTCCAGTTTTGCCTCTGGTGATTATGGAGCTTACAGGATCTGAAATTTAGAGATGAGCTCCAGCTTGGAGGTAATTCATTGCTGGATCTTAAATCGGGTTAATGCTACTGAAGCCAGAAGGAAATCCCTTTAGGATAAGATGGATCTCAATCTCAAATTGCATCAGGAGAGATTCAGACTGGATGTTAGGAGGTTCTTCACAGTAAGGATGGTCGAGAATTGCAGTGGGCTGCCCAGGGAAGTGGCAGTGCCCCATCCCTCATGGAACTTAAGGGACATGGATGCGGCACTAAGGGATGTGGCTTAGTGATGGGACTTGGAGGTCAGGTTGGTGGTTGGACCGGATCCTCTTGAAGGTCTTTTCCAACCTAGGCGATGCTATGATTTTACTGGCTGCTCATCCACGAGGGTCTCCTGTATCTCGCACCACTGTGACAATGTCCCCCCTCTCCTTCACCCTCCCCAGAGATCAACAGCGGCGTGGAGACCACAGACGAGCTGTCCCTCTGCTCTGAAAATGGCTATGCCAACGAGATGGTCACCCCCACGGATCATCGGGACACCAGGCTGCGGATGAACTGAGGGGCTCCAGCCCAAGCCCACGTCTGGCCGACCCCGTGTTTGCAACGAGAGCTGCGCTCTCCTGCTCTCCATGGGATGGGAAACTTTGATGAACTGCTGGCCGGGCAGAGATCCCTTTCCATTCCACCATCAGTGGCTGCTCCACCTCTCTGGTTCTGAGATTGAGGGGCTTTTTTTTTTTTTTTTTGTAAATATGTAGAAAATCTGAATTCCTTTTTGTCTTTTTTTCTTTTTTTTTCTTCCTTGAGTGTAATTTTTCCAGGGCATGAGTGGAAATACCGTGTTCATTAAACCCTCTACGTTATGGCTGAAGTTATTTGAACCTTGACGTGACAGCCTGAGTCCCCCTGGGGGGAGTTTGGGACAGTTCCCCCCCACCCTGCTCCATTCCTTCCCTTGATGCATCGACTGTGTAGCTGAATTGTTTAAACTGTATGTTGTGAAGTTCTCGTGAAGTGTCATTTTTTTTTTCTGTTTTCCTCCCCACCTTTTCCCTTCCTGGGCAATGAAGTGTTAGCTGTAATTGAACAGGAGCCTGCTTGGAGGAGAGAAGCTTTCCTTGGAGAGGAGATGGCACTGCTCTTCCATGTCGGAGTACAGAGCTGGGGAAGGAGTTGCACTGGCTCAGACACTTGGGCACATTCTCTCTGTCCCATTCCCCATCCCCAAAACTTGGATGTCGACAGAAAAATGGCCTTCTTGAAATGTCTGTAGGCAAATCCTGGGCAGTAGCTGCAGGTTGGCCTCTGCTGGCAGCAATGCTTTGATTTTGCTGTTCTTTTTCTATCTTCTCCGTGAGTTGGGCTCCATTGGGCGCCTGGATGGCTTGCAAAAAGCAATGCCATGGGCACCATCACTGCTCCCATCTGGCTAAAGTGCCTGCTATGCCACGTGGCACTTGCAGTTGCTCCTTACTTCACTGCATCCACGCAGGAAGAGGAGCAGCAGCAGCGTGAGCCCCTCTGTGCCCAGCAGATGCCCCTGAGTGAAGGAGATGTAAATAGTTTGGAAGCTGAAGTAGCCCAGGACAGTAATTTATTCCTGCAAGGAGATGTTTCCTCCTTGCTTTGAAACCAGCATCTTTAAAGCTGCATGTCAGCATCCTCCAGAGGAGCAGCGGTCTTGCAGCAGATGCACACTCCCAGTGCAAAAGGCTTGAAACCAAAATCCTAGAGCAGAGATCTAAAGAAACATGAAATAAAGCTTAGAAACCACACTGATGGTGGTTGTGTTTTATCCCTGCACTGATTCAGCCTAAGAGTGGGGTGCTCAGCTCCCTGCTCTCAGCCTCCAAGGTCTCACTGGGCAGAGCCTGTTTTTGGGTCAGCATTCTGTTTGTGTGGAGCTGGTTCCCAGAGCAGCTGAATCCAGCTGGAAGGCTGACAGTGATGTGAATGGCTCCTGGCTCGGTCCCTGTGGCCTTCTGCTGTTGGGTCACTCCTTCCCTCACCGGATCTTGGTTGGTACAATGTGCAAAGTGGGAAATCCCATTGAGCACGAGCTTCCTTTGAAGCTTGGTGTGTTCCACCTTGGAAATGCCAGGACCATGGGAGCTGTTTCCCATGGTGGGAATGTGACCCGAAGCTCAGGCTTTGGGCTGAGCCTGCTTGCTGAGCCCTGGGAGAAGTCGCCTTGTAGAAAAGAAAGGAGGTTTGGGGGATGCTGATGTGCCTCCTAAGGCAAACCTGGAAAAGCCAGAAGGAAGCCACAGCAATCAGCCTCGGGCAGATCGTCCTTGTCGTGGCAGCACTGAAGTTTTGAATCTTGAATGTACTGAAGTAGCATATTGAAACCTCAGAATCTTGGGTTCGGTGCATAAGAATGAGAGTGCAGAAGTGGTCGTTGCAGTCATGCAAAGAGAAAGAAGGCATGCCAAAGTGACATAAGGAACATACCTCTGTTAAGAATGCAAGTAAACAAATCTGAACTGTGATGCTTTATAAGCACCTTCTAAGCAGCACAAATTAAGGCTTTAATTTGTCTGCATCTACCTTGGATTTTCATGAATGTAGGTGGAATGAGTCCCTACTCCACGCTCCCTCTTATCCTCCTCAAAAGCTGATCTTCTATATGGAACTCTCTTGAGTCTGTGACACATGGTGGCTGGTTATTTATTTTTTTTCCTGCAGAATCACAAGGTTTTGGTGGATTTGAAGGCTTTTGAGATAAAAGTTGCTTATCCCCTTACTGAGGTGCTGCACTGAAGCATTCCTGGCGGGTTGTCATTGCCAGTGAGAGCTGTTGTTGAATCTTGGCATCTGTTGATAATCACCTGCATGTTCTGTTCTTATCCTTGGAGATGACATTATTGAAAGGTGAAGTGCTTAAAAGCTTGGAAGTGTTAAAAGTGATCCAACCAAGAGTCACTGTCTTCACAATTCATTTTTTTTTATGATGAGACCCAAACTCTATGCGTAACGCACCGACTGTTACCGTTATCGTCCTGAAGATTTGCTACTTTTTTTTTTTTTTAAAGGAATATACTTTTTTGATGAAAATAGAGCTAGACCGAAATGAATTCTGAGATGCTCTGTGAAATAAACTGTCAGTATTCCCCTGCCCGTCTGTGATCTTGTTGTGTGTTTCTTGCGTTTTGATCTTCGTGTTTCTGCATTTCGTGCTTTGTGGGAGAACCTCAAGGTCTGACTTCAGGTTGGAAATTAGGAACAATTTCTTCTCCAAAAGAGCGGTAGTGTTCTGCACAGCTGCTGAGGGAGGTGGGAGAGTCATAGAATCATAGAATCACCAAGGTTGGAAAAGACCTAAAAGATCACCCAGTCCAACCGTTCACCTATTCCCAACAGCTCCCACTAAACCACGTCCCTCAACACAGCATCCAGCCTTTCCTTGAACACCCCCAGGGTCGGTGACTCCACCACCTCTCTGGGCATCCATTGCAGTGCCTGACCAACCTTTCTGAAAAGTAATACTTCCTCATGTCCAGCCTGAATCTCCCCTGCTGTAGCTTGAAACCATTCCCTCTGCTCCTATCACTGATGACACGAGAGCAGAGGCCGACCCCCAGCTCACTACAGCCTCCCTTCAGGAAGTTATAGAGAGCAGTGAGGTCTCCCCTGAGCCTCCTCTTCTCCAGGCTGAACATTCCCAGCTCCTTCAGCCTCTCCTCATCAGCCCTGTGTTCCAGACCCCTCACCAGCTTTGTTGCCCTCCTTTGAACACGTTCCAGGGCCTCAATATCTTTCTTGCAGTGAGGGGCCCAAAACTGGACACAGTACTCGAGGTGCGGCCTCACCAGTGCTGAATACAGGGGAACAATCACCTCTCTGCTCCTGCTGGCAGCACTGTTTCTGATGCAAGCCAGGATACCATCGGCCTTCTTGGCCACCTGGGCACACTGTCGGCTCATGTTCAGCCGAGCATCCATCAATACCCCCAGGTCCATTTCCTCTATGCAGTCCTCCAGCCACACCGCCCCAAGCCTGCAGCGTCGCCTGGGGTTCTTGTGGCCAAAGTGCAGGACCTGGCATTTGGCCTTGTTGAAACTCATCCCATTGGCTTCAGCCCAGCTCTCCAGATCTCTCCAGATCCAGCTCCAGTCCAGATCCCTCTGTAGGGCCTCGTTACCCCCAGGCAGATCCACACTTCCAGCCAATTTGGTGTCATCTGCGAATTTACTGAGGGTGCACTCGATGCCCACAGGTGACCCTGACCCTGTCACCCTCAGGTGACTGACCCTGGAGGTGTTCCAGAACCATGGAAATGGGGCACTGAAGGATGGTCAGTGGGATGGGTAGGGTTGGGCTTGGGGACCTTGCAGGTCTTTTCCAACATTAATGATTCTATGACCAGAAGAATGTTTGGAGATCCTCCTCTCTGAGGTCAGTGCTGCACCCTCTCTCCCATCCCCATTTTATCCAACAGCAGTTGACAAGCAGTCAGGTGGAGAGGGTGCGACTCTGCAGACCCAAGTCTGGAGTTATAACTGCCAAATAAATATTAGGTGCTTGTGGCCACGTGGGGACAATGATGCACCAGTATCACTGATCTGGCAGCAGTTTTAAGCCAAACAAATAGGAAGCAATTAATTTCTAATACACACTGTGCACGTCATTGCCCCAGGGTGCTGTGAAGGCTGAAAAACATAAGCATGTTTGAAGAGGAATAATTGGCTCTTATGTCCATTAGCACTTATTAAACACAACAGTCTGGATGTAAGATCCAGCTTGAGAAGTCCCTGAGCAGTTCTTTGCTGAAAGTGTGTATTAAAGGAAGGGCTTGCTTGGCATCTGCTCTATTTCTTATTCTTCAGTCCAGGATCTGCTCCCAGCTGCAGACAGAGGGTGCTTTGGGTTAGGAGGGGATCTTGTCTGGGACAGCTTGGGATTCTTCTTTGTTAAGCAGCTGTTTTCTCCAGCTCATGAATGGCTGCATTAAGGGACAGATGAAAGGGATTAAAGAAAACATGGCTATATCCCATTGGTTGGTGACGGATAGTCAGTACTGTGTCAAGGATTTGACTGGCTGAGGGAATACCATTTGAGTGTGAAAAATAAAACTGCCCTAAGGGGAAGAGGGAGAGCTCCTGATTTCCACAGTACCGAATAATCCACAACGGGAGGCTGTGATTGCTGTGCCCTTGGGAAAGACACTAAAAAGTTGAAGGGAGAGAAATAAGAGTCATGTAGCCTGTGTCTGTTATTCAAATAAAAGAGCTGAGAATTGGCTGCTGGCTGTAAGCCCAAAGGGTTTGGGACAGCCAACGTTGTGCTATTTAACTCTTTCTTCTCTAAAACTGCCCATAGAAGCTTATTGGCACAGCTGTGATAGCTCTCATGGTACCTGGGAACCATGCCGGCGCAGTCACTTTATTGGCAGAGTTGCAGCCCTGTGGTCTGGGAGGTGATGCTGATGTGGCTGTATCATAGGTCTGCAGGAACCTGCCATACAAAGCATCTCTTACATCCCTGCCAAAGCCTTCATATGATGCAGTGGCTCAGAGCTTGCAAAAAGTGGCATGGAAAATCCAGCTGTGCTATGAGTGACAGCAGTGACATGGGGCTGAAGGCTTGCTCTTGGTGCAAGGCAACATCTGCTTGGCTGGACCAAGAAGGGAGTGACCATGGTTGGGTTGGAAGGTCCTGGAAGGTTATAGAGGTACAGAATGGTTTGGGTTAGAAAGGTCCTGGAAGGTCATGGAAGCATGGAATGTTTGGGTTGGAAGGTCCTGGAAGGTTATAGAGAAACCATTTGTTTTTCCTCCTAAGCTTCTCATGTTTTTTCCCTCTCCTCTTCCTGGACTCTGTTTCTGCTCCAGTCTGTCCTCTTCGTCTTCTTCATTCTTCTGCTTTGGTCTCTTTTTCTGGATGCCAGTGACTGTCTGGATGAGGGTAGGAAGAGTCTCCTGACTCTCTGCAGCCAGATGAAAGCCCTGGGCATTGCTGCCAGGAGCATGCAGACTGCCGTCCTGGGTAGGATGCACTTCCATCCATTGGGTGTGTAATGGCGAGACCAATGGGTACGACCCATACCTGAACCAAGGTTCAGGTTGGATATTTGAGACAATTTCTTCTCCAAAGAGCAGTCAGGCACTGGAATGGGCTGCCCAGGGAGTGCGGTGTGTCACCATCCCTGGAGGTGCTCCAGAACCAAGGGGATGTGGCACCAAGGGATGTGGGCAGTGGGCATGGTGGGCTGCAGTTGAGTTGGGGTTGGGGATCTGAATGGTCTTTTCCAACCTTCTTGATTCTTTGATGCTGTGCTCAGGTCCTAGTGATCACTCTCCCTATGACCTCCATTACCTGATTTATCCAAAGCTCTCTTTCCTTTCCTCTTTTCTACTTGATTTCTTTTTACCTTAACTGCACCCCTTCCCCTTCCTATTTCTTTCTCCTTCTGACACAATTACTCTGCTATTCGTTTCAGTTCTCATTCACAAAGAGTTTTTTTTCCACAGTTCCTGTTACATTTATTTCCCTTTTGCATCTTGTTAATGCATGTGGTTTTGTGCCTGATGGCTCCTGTAGACCACATGCCATGGGTTGATTATTTTTCACGTGAAAAAAATATTTTACAGTGGAATAGGGCTCCCAGCTCACTGCTTCTGGTGTCTCCATCTACCCTGGGAGGAGACCCAGGGCACTGGGAGGAGACCCAGGGCACTGGGAGCAAATGAGAGGATGAACTCTTGCCCCTGCACAGAGTGTTCTTCCTCCAGTGCTGCCTATCAGGCACCCCAATGTCCTTTTCCAGACCTCTGGGGTATTTAATGCCCTCAGTTTCATGCAATTTGACCATAAACATGGGCTGTACCCCAGCCTTCATGCAGTGACAGCCATGCTGGGACACGGTGACATCACAGGAACAGATCCAGGGCTAAGCACAGTACAGGTTGCCTGTGAAAATGTGCTAATAGATGGCCTGGCACGAATACACGGTCAGCTGCAACCCAGAAAATCTTCCCTTCACAGTCATTTGGTGCATTTGTAACAACTTACCAACAGGCTGCACGCCTCGCTGGAAGCTGGGGTTTGCTTTCAGGTTGGTTGGCAAGGTGTCAATAGCTTTGAAACTTCGTTGAAGGGTTTCCTGTACTCAGGAGATCTGTTTGTCCCAAAGGGAGGGATTGGTGCTGTGCTGCTCATTGTCCTGATGACCCTCTCCACCCACCCATCCTGGATGGAGCCCAGCAGAGCCAACTCAACTGGGGATGGAAGGTCCTAAGACCAAATTCCCCAGCCCTCTGAGCCCACGGCAGAGGCTGGGAAACCACAGTCCTTTCCAGGTCGCTGCCAATTCATATGCAAATGTTGGCAATGAGCAGGACGCCAGCTTGTGCCCTGCATCCCACTGATGGGAGAGGAGCAGAAGGGATCCAGCTGGAAAACACAGTGGTGGTGCTCCAAGGAAAGACGACTTTACTGGGATAGCAACAGGCAGGGTTGGTCGTTCTTTGCATTTCTGCTTAGAATGAAATAATACAAAGTGATGCTGGGCAAGGGAATGGGCTGCATTTCATCAAGGGTTTTGGCAATCTTGAGGCTGCCGGTTACTTCATGGATCCAACTCAGGGCTGCTTTGTTCCCTACTATGAGCTTCAGCCAGCAATGGGATTGAGTTGGAAGGGAGGCTGCTGAGAGCCACATGGGGCAAACCTTCCTGTCTGTCCTTGTGGATCTAATTACCTAATTATCACGCATTAATGAGGGGCACCGTGTCTTCTGCCTGACCCAATCTATCTGTGTTACGGGTGCCTATTTTGCTCGCAGAGCTGTATTTTATTTATTGGATTTAGTGTGGTTTCCAGCGAGCTGGGGTCTCTATCAAATAAATTATTCCACTTGGACCCCAATTTGCTCTCCAGATGGCTCATCCCTCATAAGCTGTCCTGGTGTGCTCTGTTTTCCCCCGATCCTCGGTGAGTTTCCCCTAGCTCCTCCCAGACTGGCTGTTATTGACAGCTGCATGGCTAATGCCCTGTAGCGGAGAAACAAAAGCAGATTTCTCCCCCACCTCTTCAGCAGAGAGCATAAAGGCGATGCTTTTGTGCTTCCCCAAGCATTGCCAGAGACAGGCTGAGCGTGCTTAGTGAAGGGGACTCATCTCTGCACAGAGCCCCAGTGTGGATGGGAGATCTCCGCGAGGGAGGCTGTGTTCATTAGGTCCCACCTGGAGGACTCAACCTTGGGGCCAGGTAATGTTGAGATTCTTGTGCTAACAGCTGGGAGATTTCTCCCTACAAATACAGAGTTTGGCAGTATTGGGATGGAGGGAGTGATGCAGAAAGGAGTGTGTGTGGGTAAGGGCAATGGGAGAATCCCACTCTCTTCTCAGAGTTGGTATCATGGGTAGATGAGCAGGGGTGTGAGCTGGGGAAAGAACTTTGGGTTTATCCAGGGGAGGTCTCTCTTTGTAAGCTTACTGTCACCAGGGGCTTGGGCATTCACATAGATCAGGGTGAGAAATGATGAAATGGGAACGTTTGTCTTCTTTGGCTGGAGCTGCGTGTGCCAGCAAAACGCAGAGTTCACCATGCTGCCTTTGTTGTAACTTCTCTAAATCACTTTGAGCTGACAGCATTCTCCTTCTGCAGCCTGAGCACTTCTCAGTGCTATTTGGGATGTCTGGAGCCTCCACCCTTTCCCCCAGGGTTGCTTAGGGATTTATGTAGGGCTCTTTGCTCTGCCTCACTGCTCCTCAGGTCTCTGCAATACCCCCATGGCAGGAGTAGGATTGCCCTCACTGGCATCCCACCTGAATGCTTGGTGCTGTGCTCTTAAAAAAGAAGCGTTGGCATTGCTATGCCTCTTATTTAACACTCAGCTGATAGAGCAGTTGGGCAAGCAGGGGGAGACCTAAGTTCAGTTCCTCCCAGGACTTGTGTCTGTGCAGCAGCAACTGGTTGGGATGGGTTCTTGGGAAGAAGTGGTGCACCATGGATGGTTTGAATTTGGCTGGGTGGGGAAATTAGCTGAACGGGAGCTTTGAGATGTTAGAAAGAAAGAAAACAGTGTGTAAGTTGTTAATAAAGCACAGCCTGGGTAAGGCAACTGTCTTACAAAGAATCATCTAAAAGCAGAAGAGTTTGGTATGCCAGGGTGGGATTGCGTTGGGAATATCCTAGAGGCCACATCTGGGTTTTGTTTTTGAGAAAATGTTGGTTATGGAGGATGAGCTCCTCGGGATGAGGGTAAAATCTGTCTAAGATTTTGGCTGGAATCTGTACTACCTGATGTCATCAAGAAAGATGCAGAAATCACAATGCCGTTGGACGCTGTGGTCAGATATTTTAATTAACGTTCTGATCTGTCATCTCAATCACTGCTTCCAAGCCAGGATGCATCGAATGATGAAAGAAGAATCAAGCTACAGGACAAGCAGCCTGGAAAATGCAACACGCGACACGAGCAAAGAGCAGCTGCATGTGAAGCTCTGCAATGGGTCCTGCCACGCTGAGCAAATCCTACAGACGCTGAACGCCTACCGGCGTGGTGGCATCTTCACAGATGTGGTGTTGTTAATTGATGGGCAAGAATTCCCCTGCCACCGTGCTACTTTGTCAGCCAACAGCACTTATTTCCGGGCGATGTTTGGTGGCAATCTCAAGGAAAGCCATCAGAATATCATCAACATCCAGAAGATTTCTGCTTCCACCATGTCTCTCCTTCTTGACTATATGTATGGGGGGAACATTGTCATTCAGGAAGACAATGTTGAAGGCATCTTGGAACTGTCTGACTTGCTGCAGATCTCCAAGCTTAGGGATGCTTGTATCAGCTTTCTTGAAGGCCAGCTTCACCCCTGCAATTGTTTAGGCATCATGAAGTTTGCCGATTCGTTCTCCATCACTTCCCTGACAGAAAAAAGCAAGAGGTTCATGCTGGAGTGTTTCGTGGAGGTGTCATGCCATGAAGAGTTCCTAGAGATGGGTGTGAAGGAACTGGTTGAGTATTTGTCTGATGAGCAGCTGGTGGTTCCCAAGGAGGAGGTGGTCTTTGAAGCAGTCATGCGCTGGGTACGACACGACGTACCTGCCCGGAAAGGAGCCTTGAAGGATCTCCTTGAGCATGTACGTCTGCCACTGCTCAACCCCACCTACTTCCTGGAGAAGGTGGAAATGGATGGGCTCATCCAGGACTCAAAGGAGTGCATCCCTCTGCTGCACGAAGCCCGCAAGTATTACATCCTTGGGAATGAGGTCAGCTCTTTGAGATCGAGGCCCAGAAGGTAAAACGCAACGTCATCTTCCCTAGACCTGCATGGTCCAAGTTCTTGTATCTTAAAGCTTGGATGGAGTTCTTTGATTCTTATCAGAGTAACATGAAGGTTGGAAAAGTCCTCCAAGATAATCTAGCCCAACCATCAGCCCATCCTCACCATGCCCACTAAACCATTGCGACTCGTAGTAACAGTTCTAAACAATTTTATTATTTATAATAACCATTTTAAACTAAAAGGGGGATTTATGTCAGATACAAGGAGGAAATTTGGAAAGGGTCCAGAGGAGGGCGACTAAGATGATCAGGGGGCTGGAGCACCTCCCCTATGAGGACAGGCTGAGGGAGTTGGGCTTGTTCAGCCTGGAGAAGAGAAGCTGCGGGGTGACCTCATTGCAGCCTATCAATACCTGAAGGGAACCTACACCCACGAGGGGAGTAAACTCTTCAAAAGGGCTGACAACAGCAGGACTAGGGGAAATGGATCCAAGTTGAGGGAGGGAAGATTGAGGTTGGATGTTAGGGGGAAGTTCTATACAAGGAGAGTGGTTAGGCCCTGGAACTGCCCAGGGAGGTTGTGGATGCCCCGTCCTTGGACGTGTTCAAGGCCAGGTTGGACGGGGTCCTGGGCAACCTGATCTGAATGTGTGTGTTTGGTGGCCCTGCTGGGCAGGGGGGTTGGAACTACATGATCCTTGAGGTCCCTTCCAACCCGGGTGATTCTGTGATTCTGTGAAATTACTTCCCCAGAGGTGGTGAGGCCCCAGCACTGTTGCCCAAAGCTGTGGTGCTCAATCCCTGGAGGTGTCCAAGGCCATCGATGGGAGCCCTGAGCAACTTCATCTGGTGGCAGACACCCAGCCCATGGCAGGGGTTGGGGTTGAGTGGGCTTTAAGGTCTTTTCCAATCCAACCATTCTATGATTACTTTTTTTTTATTTTGTCTTTTACTTCACTTTAGCCTTCTAGCTATCAGCATGCTGCCTAGCTCAAAGGCATAGCTGCTGGGACAGTAATTAATGTCCAGGAAAAAAAGGGAGTTGCAGTCCAAGTAGCTACCTAGGCACCCCAAATTCTTTCTTTTGTACCTGCGATTCATTGATTGACATGAAGATAAAGAAGTTCCAACCCAAGCAGCTGGCATTATGAAATGGAAAATACAAAGGAAAACCAATTTCTGGGGGTGGGTATGCATGGAAATATGCACCTTTCTGTGATTTTGACATATGGATTTTCTAGACTTAGACAGACATATTGTAAGCCTCTGTTACTCCTTCATGGTGATGCTGGTACGTTCAGCACGTGCTTGGTAAGCACTCCGATGAACAACTCCATTGAGAGCACCTCTGCTCTAGGATGGGTTGCTGTATCAAGCCAGGTGGTTTGTAAGGCTTTCTGTGCTTCTCTAGAGGAGAATGATGGCTGTGGGGACAAATTCTTGTGTTCTTCTGCACTTTCGACCATGGAATCCAGCTTACTTTTGCCTCTTAGTGGAGCAGCTTGGGTAGAAGAATGGGGATGTGGAATCGTTGAATAGTTAAGGTTGCAAAGACCACTGCAGTCATCTAGTCCAGCCATCAGCCCATGCCTGTGACTGCTCTAAACCAAGTTGCATGACATGAGCCTGTTTGGCTTTTTGGTTTTTTGTTTTTTTTTTAAACCTCCAGGGATGGTTTGAGCCCTTTCAGTCTGATGTGAGGCTTGGACTTGTTTTCTCTGTGCTGACTGTGACAACAGGCTGCTACACAAAGAACTGCTCAATAGCAGTCTGTGGTGCCCTCTCCAAGCACACAGATTAAATTCACTGGGAATAAATCCCACTCCCAGCATTCCCATTTTAACTCCCCTTCTTTTACAATTTAGGTCTAAAGTGAACTGTCTCAGGCTGCACAAATGGAGACAGAGCTGGGGATGGTACCAAGCCTTTCAAATCCCATTCTGCCCTCTTCCTTCCTCTCCTCTCTCCTCCTGCAGGGCTGCTCCTCTCTGGCCACCTACTTCTTGGCAAGACTTTCCTGCCCAGCCGTCTGTCTCGTCTGCTCTCTGCTGTTAGGGCTGGAGAGAATGAGATTTCCTGGAAACACTTCTCTCTCCAGGCAGAGAGCATGTTGCAGGCTGGCTGCCAGGAGCAGCTTTCCATGCTTGCAGCCGTGTTAGGCTTTATTGTGCAGGAAGGGACAGGGTGAAGGGCAGTAGGCAATCTCACAAAGGACTTCCAAAGGTCGCTCTCAATTTTCTTTCCCTACAAAGTTTGGACCATTTCCCACTCAAGCTGAGAGATTTGAATGGGCAGATAAGAGGGAAGGTGCATGGGCAAAATGATTTGCCTAGAAAACTGGTAGTTGGTGACAGAAAGGAGCTTTTCCTACCTGCTGGGATGTGCTGCCAGTATCCTAAATGGGACTGGGACTTAGGGACTTACCCATGCCTTTTATGGTCTAGGTTCATGGAGCTGGCAGAAGTTATCATCATCATTGGGGGCTGTGATAAGAAAGGCCTTCTGAAGCTGCCCTTCACTGATCTCTATCACCCAAAGAGCAGGCAGTGGACGGCCCTCTCCAGTGTGCCTGGCTACACCAAGTCAGAGTTTGCTGCTTGCACGCTGAAGAATGATGTCTACATATCAGGTGAGGTGTCCTGGGACAGCTGTAGTCCCCACCTGGAGCCTCAGTTCAGAGAACTGCTCCTGGGGTCGATTCACTGGGACTCATTGACGTGCATCTCAGCTCCAGAACAAAGTCACTTCTTGGTGAAGTTTACCCTGGATTTTGTTGTCCCAAGAAACGCTTTTAGCCTTCTGGGGAAGATGGCACTTTTGGAAAAACTTTCCTTCTTGCTTATCTGGGTTTCCATCCTCTTGCAGTGGAGTGAGTTGGTTTTGATGTGCACTTCCAGGGTTTCCTATCACATCACCATCTGCCCATCCTTGATTTAAAATACAAAGCCTATAGAAGAGCTCCTTAGAAGGGATGGAGTTGTGTAATAAGTGCCTTGAAATTCAGAGGGCATCATCCTTGGGAAGCTGAGTTTACGTGAGAGTAACCCAACAGCCACATTCTGGCCTAGGTTGTTCTGCTGCATGGAGGACCCATACAAAATAGCAGTGTGCCAGGGTGATGGGTCTGTCTGAGATTGTGCCAGCCCTCCATTCCTCTGTTTTTAAGGGGGACACATCAGCAGCAATGATGTTTGGGTGCTGAGCTCCCAGCTGAATGTCTGGATCAAGGTTGCTTGTCTGCAGAAAGGCCGATGGAGGCACAAAATGGCAACGCTTCAGGGCAAGGTAGGTTTTGAAACAAGCCCATTTGGAACAGTCTTCCCTTTTTCCCAATTCCCAGTGCAATGAGACATTGTCAGAGCTTGTTTGTTATCTCAGTCATTTAGAGACCAGGACATAATCATGTTACTATTAGCTCTAGCTAATGTTTTTTTTGCTGCCTGAGTTTGCCACATATGAACCTGTAGCAATAAGATCTACCATGGGGTGCCGAGAGACTTCTGCAAGATGACTGTGTTGAGGCTTTGGGTGAAAACTATGCAGTGTAGGGTGTTTCAAACCCTGACATATGATGGATTTAACAAGAAAACATCATTGTGGCTGGACAACAGCTCTAGTACTCTGTGATAGTGTATAGCCCTGCTGGTGAGTACAGGAGATTCTCACTGGTTTGCTTTGCTCTTTCTGGGGCAGATCTACGCTGTGGGAGGCTTTGATGGTTTCTACCGCCTCTCCAGTGTGGAGTGCTATGACACCTTCTCCAACAGCTGGTCCACCTTGGCTCCACTGCCACAAGCAGTGAGCTCAGCAGCTGTGGTCTCCTGCCTGAACAAGCTCTACGTGCTGGGTGGTGCTGTGGATGACACTGCTAACACTGACAAGGTATGGGTGGTGCAAAGGGGTGAGGATGGCTGGGAGGTGGAAACAGGACTAAGAGATGCAAAATAAGCCCGTGGGAAATTCCAGCTCAGCTTTGGTCTGCTTTCAGGTACTGTGCTTCAATGGAAAGGATCACAGAAAGGCCAGCAAGGAACATGAAAAATAGGAGACTTAAAATATATATTATAATAATAATGGTTTTACCAAGGAAGGTGACGTCTGAGCTGCACTGAGAGCAGACAGGGGCTCCCAGCTCAATACCAGAATATGTAACCATGTACTGTGTTGGTTAGGACCAGCTGGTAATCTGTCTGTGAGAGCTGAAGGCATAGACCCTCAAAAGAATTGCCCATGACCCCAGCCAGCTGATGAAGGAATGTCCCTTTGATCATTGCACTGGCCTATGAGTGTTGAAGTTCCCATCCGTGTTTCTGAACCAATTTTCTTTTATTTCTAGTGGATATTATCTCCATCCAAGCAAGGAGATGAGATAAATTTATGTTCCCATAGCTGCGTTTCTCCTTCTAGGTCCAATGCTATGATCCAGAAGACAACAAGTGGACTCTCTTGTCTCCCACTCCTTTCTACCAGAGGTGCATCAGTGCCGTCTGTTTGGACAACATCATTTATGTTGTAGGTGGGCTCCTCAGTAAAATCTTCAGCTATGATCCAAGGAAAGACAGCTGGCGAGAAGTGGCTGCCCTCCCTGGGCCTCTGGTAAGAGAAAGACTTAGGAATCATAGAATTGTTAAGGAGGGAAAGGCCAATAAGGTCACAAGGTCATCCAGTTCCAACCATCAACCCATACCTATGACCACTCCAGGCCATGTCACCCAGTGTGACATCTGCCCTTCCCTTGAACACCTCCAGGGACTCCACCACCTCTCTGGACAGCCTGCTCCAGTGCCTGTGAAGAAATTTTCCCTAATATTCATATAAGAACTTTTCCTAATACGAGGAGAGAAGCTCTGAGCCTTCTCTCTCCATGGAATAAAGGTATCCATCTGCATTTTGCTGAGATTAAATGTGAAGGAAGTATACTGGAGAGCTGACATTTGGCTTGAGGTTCTTCAAGTGCCTGTAACAATAATACTGAAGTACCTCAAGAGCCGTACCCTACTCATCCTGCTTATTTCCCCCCATGCAGGACAGGTGAGGGCTGAGCCCATAGCAGTCATGCACTCCTGCTCAATCCCACCGCCCAAAGCTATGGGGCCATCCTTCATCTTTCAGCCTTTCCTTCTGCTTTCCAGGAGAGCTGCGGCCTGACGGTGTGCGGAGGGAAGATTTACATCCTGGGTGGCCGAGATGAGAATGGGGAAGGCACAGACAAAGCATTCACTTTTGACCCTGTAACGGGGAGCGTGGAGCAGCAGCCCCCGCTGCAGCGCTGTACCAGCTACCATGGCTGTGTCACCATCCTGCAGCACATGAACAGATGACCGTGGGACTTTGACAGCGTCTTTCTCCTATCCAGATCCTCCCCTTGAGTCAGTGGCTACATTTGTGGACAGACAGCAGTCTCTCTGTGGGGAAGGGCAACATAAGGCACTAAAGATGTGCTCCCACCAGGCCCTGAGCAACCTGTGTTTTGGTTTGGTTTTTTTTTTTTCCAGGTCTGATGATGCCAATGGTTTTGATGCTGAGAGGTGAGAGGATGAAAGTGCTGGGCTGTATGAAAGCTGCATTGCAGACCTTGCCACCTCCAGATTTAAGCAGGGTTGTGACCCCTGGAACTGCTGAGCTTGACTTCTTTTAGGTTTCCCTGAATTGTAGAATGGTTTGAGTTGAAAGGAATCCCTGAAGGCCATCTGGTCCCACCACCTGCAATGAACGGGGGCACCCACAGCTCCATCAGTGCTCAGAGCCCTGTCCTCACTGCCCGTATTGTAAAATAACTTATTCCTTACATGGGTGTAGATCATGATTTTCTGTACTGTTGGTACAAGGGCAATTATTTGCTTCTGTCTGACACCCAGGGCTGTTACAGACACAATTACATTTACAGGATCCAATTCTTCAGCTCTCAGATATCTATGCATTTAGCTCCATAGAGCCCTGTGTCAACCCATGCTTGCCCAAACAGTCGTTGATGCCCGTGAGCAGTTAGTTCTACTACAGTGGACAGCTGAGTTTGAGATCTCAGCTGATATCCCAGGAAAACTTCTCTGCTAAATCCCTGAAAGCTTGGTTAAATAGGCCACACTCTGAGTCCATTCTGCATATACTGCAGGGTCTATCACCTGAAAGCACAGGGTGCTGCCTCTTCTATGTGTTTGAAGATTAGTCTCGCTGAGACTTTGTCACTGAGGACAAAGTGAATCATGTAGCCAAGAGGTGGTTCTTCAGAGAGCAGTGTGAGGCAAGTTAGAATGTGTAGAAGTTTTTTTTTTTTTTAATTAAAAAACAAAAACCAACATCCTGAAGTGTGATACCCACAGAACTGCATCTGGCTCCTTTTGGCTTCGAAGGATGCTGACAACTAGGAAAATAAATTCAATATTTAACAGATTTGACAGAGTGCCTCTGGGAGCCTAATGTGCAGCTTGTCTCAGGGCACATCTTCAGTAGCACCACCTGTGCTGCTCCAGGGTTTTGACCTCAGGTCCAGAAGTGAACCTGTTTGATTTGGTAGAGTAGCCATAGCCTGTGGTATGTCTTAGTCCATGGTTGGAACTGATATTTTCTGATGGGTCTGTGTATCACAGAACGGCCTGGGCTGCAAAGGAGCACAGCACTCATCCAGCTCCAACCCCCTGCTGTGTGCAGGTCGCCAACCAGCAGCCCAGGCTGCCCAGAGCCACATCCAGCCTGGCCTTGAATGCCTGCAGGGATGGGGCATCCACAGCCTCCTTGGGCAACCTGTGCCAGTGCTTCACCACCTTCAGTGCAGGCATTCATGTTATTCAATTAGGTCCTGAAGTGTTACCAAATGTAGGGTGGGATCTCTTAAAAATGCTCATTACTTATACATTCACCTCTCTGCAGCTGCTCTCTGCACCTCGCTTTCCTCTTTCCACTGATGACCTCTTCCTGAAGTAGATGAGAATCCTGTTGTTGGCCCAGATTCTCCTCTTTTCAGAATCTTCTAATGATCTTAAGCCTCCTCTTATTGCCTCCCTCTCCCATATGGGTGGATTTTATTTGGTGCTCTTTAATATCTCTGTCTTCTGTGAGTGCTGAGACGTTCACCTCTTCTTTGTGATGTTATCAGGATGACCTGAAAAACATGGCAAGAAGTTCCTGCTGAAGACCCCAAATTGGCTGTTAGCTAGGAGTGCTGTTCTCTCCTTTTCATTAGGAAACCTGTGCTTTTCCATTGTTGGAGCTGTGTGTTTCCTTGCACAAAATGTACCAAACGCTGCTTATAATCTGAAAGGCTTTGGTGGCCATTTTGTTTATGAAGGCACACTATGCATTCTCAGCCTCAAATTTTCCTGAGGGCCTGTGCACAGTATGATGTGTCCTTCAAGCAATATAAAGGAGGTATAATGGTGGCAAAGGTTACTTGAAGTTTTTAAGAGACATGTGGATGTTTAAGAAGATGGTGTAGAGGTGGGCTTGCAGTGGTGGTTGGATGGTTGGGCCTTGGGGATCTTGAAGGTCTTTCCAACCTAAATGATTCTATGATTCCTCCAAGGAGAGAAGACAAAATCCAAGCTGGCAAAGGGAAATTTAATTTGCAATCAAATTGCATCCACAGTTATGTTTATAATGCAAATGGTCACTTGAGAAGAAACTGTCACTTTTCATTGGTATAATTAAATTAGTGTGGAAGAAAGTATAAAGTATCAACTCATGTTATGGCAGACCTCATGAACAGAGAGCCCTTTGTTCTCCTGTAGCCTAGTGTTCTGGGGACCACAGATCGCAGCCCATCTCCCCATAGAAATAAAAAAAAAAGCTCTCTTACTGTTCCCTGTGCCTCCAGCAATTCAGTCTTTTGGACATCTCTGATTTACCCCCATCTTGTGTCTGGTTGAAGAGGTTCTCAATTCTCCGAAGGGCTGGCTGTACTTGGGAAACCACTGAGGATGCTTCAAGAAAAACAGAGCACCCCAACCTTGCAAAAGCATTGAGTGTCATGGCTTTTTGTGTTCTGTAGCTATGTTTGGGGGGGAACCAATGTGGTGGCATAAACGTTTGGACTTTTCCTAGTCTTACAATGGGTTTTCTCTTTAAGCATCTGACATGAAAGCTGTGCTAAAGAGGATTCAGGATGTGGGGTGGTGGTTGGTTTGGTTTTGTTTGGTTGTGGATGCTATTTTTGTTTGGGTTTTTTTCTTAAGTGGAAATTTTCAGGAATTTGTGATTTCACACCAATGAAGTTCAGTGAGGAAAACCTTAACGCCGCTGTTCTTCTTGCACGTTCTTTCTACAGTCTTCCCTGATCTCCCTCATTCTTCTAGGAGTCTCTTGCTGGACTTCACCCCTTAGTCCTGTAGAAATGAGCTCTCTCAGAAGAGTAGACCTTCTGGTCTGTTTTCCCATGTGCTTTTGACATGTGTGGTGTGTTGCAGCAGTAACACGTGGTGAACGTTGTGGTGTAGGTACTAAACCATTTGCCTTGTTCTTGGTTGTGATATTCGTACTGCTGCTGAAATGTGTTTGTATTTTGTAAGGGCTCTGAACTGTGGGCATGCAGGGGAGGGAGAGGGAATAAATTTTACTTGTTTTTCTCAGAAATAAATGTTTTTCTTGACTCCAAGGTGATTTTGCTGCAGGAATTTCATTTGTGAATATTACTTGAAATAGTACCTGAAATCTTTGTGTTTCACTTCACTCTTTTTGATTTTCCTGCTGCTTGTCTCAGCAGTTGTATTATTTTGGGTATGTTTATATCTTGGAGGGGAGCCAGAGGGAAGAAAAAGGTTTTGTGAACAAATTGAATGGATGATATAGGCAAGAAGATCTGCAGGAACTGATAGCATTTGTCCATAACACACATGGGCAGAAGAATAAGAAGAAGACGACAGAGGCTGGACTGTTTAGTAGCCTTGGATACCTCATTTAAAAAAAAAAAATGCCTTTTTCGTAAAGGCAAATGAGTGGTGATGCAACTGGGGAAGGATACCACTGAGATCTAGAAAGAATCCTGTGGGTTAGTGTTTGGAGAGGAATATGGTGATGAGAGTTGACCTCCATTGTGATGCTGTTGAACAGAAACATGGTATTGGGGTGACATGGAGGGCTTCGATGCCTCACTGCTGTCACTGTGATAGAGAAGAGACTGTGGAAGCAGATCCAGAGTTTGCACTTCATGGAGCTTGTGAAAATTTTAGAGGCAAAAGAGCCACCAAAGTTATGCACGAGTGAGATGAGGATCATAGTGTGCTCAGCATGTGATATTTAGGAGGAAGGAGGCATGGAGATAAGTCTTTTGGAGTCCTGATGTCCTCAGTGTAATATAGGCTTTATCCCCAAAATTGCTGGATCCTTCAGTTCTCCAGAGAGCAAAACTCATCTGTGGAAAGATCAAACCATATACATCTGACCATGGGCTTATATAGCTGAGCTGAAGTTCATAACCCTCAGCTGCCATCTGTTAGAAAATCAGATGCCCTCAAAAACATGAACTGGAGCCTCCTCCAAAATCTCCATTGAAGCTCTAAAGAGTGGGTTAAACTGCCCTGCCTTAAGTGCCTCTCTCTTGGAGAGGATGAGCAGCCCATTGGAACTGCCTTTCACTCTTGGTGGACTTGAGTCCTTGATGACTGCTCCAAAGCAGATAAGGTTGATAAGACTTCCCCTGGGAGGGGAAGTCTCTCTTCCACAAACCAAGGAGAAACCAGCTTTGAGGCTGCCATTGACTTGCCAACTGCCCATGGCACCATCAGTGGCCAAAGAAACCATTTCATACAATGGCTTGGGTTGGAACAGATCTCAAAGTCCATCAAGTTCCAACCTTCAAACTCTATTCTTCCTCTCTCTCCCCATGCTGCCCTTACACCTCTCTCAAGCCCAAACTTTCCTTCCCATTTTTGGCTTGTGACGCACAGACTTGACCTCCAGAGCAATCTTCCTTATCCCATGTCATTCCCTTGTCCTAGGATGTTCTACTGAATCCTGTTCCTCCTTGTCCTACCACATAAGGCCTGATGCATTTGATCTCCCTAACAAATCCAGATTACTTTTGCTTATGGTAATTGTTGTTCAGCTCCGTGTTTTCAAAACAAACACCCCTCCCAGCATGAAAACAGCAGGGTATCACGATGCCCCTGGAGATGTTGAAGCTGTCTTTGCATTTAGCTTTCTGGCTGGCAGGAGATGATAACATTGAGGGCAGGGGAACAATGCTCAGGGGTGCAAGCCCCATCTGAAAGGATGAGCTCGTGCTGATTAACTCAGATTAAGGGCCACAATAGCCAGCTGGGAACTGGTGGGCAGAGATAATAGCAGTATCAGTGGCTGTCTCTGTAGCTTTAAATTTCCCTGTACGACA